AATGTGGAAATGGATCCAGATATCATCAAGGTCCAGAGTGTGGCACTCTTATTCATATATTGCTAGGCCTTTCTTCCTCTAGATCTGCAGACTATGAAATGATTATAGAGCTGACACTTTATTCCCTACTTTAACCACATATATTGAGCATTTTAGAGACTGAGAAACATCGACCAAAATAGTGAGAAAGCCTAATGTCCAGGAAGACTAAAGGGGAATCTGTGTAACAAAATGCTGCTTGATATTTAATATTTTTAATAGTGGTTCTCACCTCAGTCCATCACAGGTACTAATGGTGGCGACAGAATTCTTTTCATTTAGGATGTGTCCTTCATAGTAACAGTGTTCCTAGAGTGAAAAAAGGAAATTATGCTTCAACTATGAGAATACATGTACCATGGTGGTGGGGAGAGCTGCCATCTTGAAGATACAAGAAAGTTTGTCAAGTAGTGATGGTGACCAGACCAGTTCCCAGAAACAAAAACAGAGAGAACCTTGGAGATTTTCAGAACTGCTCCACAGCTGATGTTGCCATCAAAAACTCTTCATATTTGGTGTCTGAGCTGGTTTTCTGACACCAATTTGCACTAAGAAGAAGTCCAGGGAGGTTGAGCCTAAGTGAGCCCGTGGCGGAAGAGGATATTGCTTCTGACAAGTAGCCCATCCCCATGGGATTTACAATACTTATGATGGGCTCTCACGTTTTGGGGCCAACTGTCAAGAATTTGGCTCTCCCATGTTGAGTCCCAAAGACACTGTGAATCCCACATTAGTAAAATGAAGCATCTATTTTCTAGACTCTGGAGTCCTCAAGAGGCCACACTACTGCTCCTGAGCTCCTCAGACTAACTGGTTGAAATCACCATTCTAATTGGTCTGTATTGGAATCCTTTTACTAGCTGCAAAAACCTGAGACATTTATTTATAACTAGAAATTTAAACATGGTTGGTGGTCCAGTCAGCAAAGTAGAGGGCCACTTATGTGGAATGATCCAGGGAAGTGAAGGAACAATCTCTGCTTCAAAATAGGTTGACTTGCCTTGTGGTCTGAAATTCCATCTGCGTGGTACCCTCTCCCATCCTTTGGAAGAAACCTTGTCATCATAAACATTTTTTCATAGAAGAGAAGACTTGGAAAAGGTACCACATTTATGTATCATTAGCCATTAATACTTGTGCATGAGTTAATTTATCAGATACTTTCCTCTAAGGACAATGTTAGCAAAAATTCAGATTCCATGAAACGAGAGTTTTGATGACAGAATGGAACAAAGAACCTTTTGTGGCAGAAATCTTGTCTGTTTTTCCATAGAGATGTTGTACATGTTTAGGGTGCCATGGAGGGTGGCTCTGAGAAACTCTGCTATGTTGAGAACACCCCTTGATTGAGCCCTTCTGTGTTCTTTTCCAGTTCTTCCCTGATTCTCTAAGCTGTGATTCTCTATGTCTGACATCTAGGCCCTGGCATTATCTATAGGATAGTGGGGAGTAATATTAAATATATATATATTAATTAAATAATATTAAAGTAATAATATTAAATAAATTAATATTAAATATACATATTAATTAAATAATGGATATTCCATTGTTGACCCCAGGATAAATGCATATTTCTTCAGAAAATAGTTAATAATGACATGAGGTTTTGAGTTCCTTTAGGGAGAATATTTCTAACCCATGGATAAAATGATCTAGGAACAAATGACTTCAGTTTCTTCTAAAAATGTAACACTTGGAAACCTCCTGCTACTCCTACCTTTTAAAAACTGACTGAATTTCCACCTGTTGTCTTACTGATTACAGACTGAGCACCTTGTGTTTTTTTTCTTTTCTTTGAGTTGTCCTTGGACCTGTGAGTTTTATAAAGCAAGTGACAGATCCCATAAAGAGTCCCAGAAAGCATTCATACCATACCATGTTCTGAAGGTTTCTGGTAATTTCCTCTCCTCCAGGTAAGTAATAGGTTTCACTGTAGTCTGGACCCAGGAGATGCCTGCC